GCTACTCTGTACTGCATGCAACTCAGCAGTGGTCGCAAGCGTCGCAAAGGGCAGGGAGGCAGCCTCGCGCGCTGTCGAACGCCCCCCCGGCCCAGACAGAGGCATCACAATCATGCTCTGGCCAGCGTCTGGTGGCTCGGCATTGCGCAACACACGCCGCAATCAGCCTGAGAGCAGATGATGGGGTGGGCGCGGGTGGACGAGAGTGGAGCCGAGTTGGGTGGGAGAGGGAGCACGCACGTGCAGCGGTGCCGAGAGTGGGTTGAGATGGCACCGCCTGCGGCCGCCCGGGCGACGGCTTGCGCAGGTATGTTGTTCATGTCCTTATCCGCCGCCGCTTGGCTGCAGCAGCCAATGACGCCGCCTTTGCGAAGCGGCGTCTGGACGCGCTTGGCGGTTGACGCCGGCCCGCCACTGCGCCTCGTGCGCGTCCACCTCCGTCGAGGTCGACGCGTCGAGATCGGAGCGCATCACCGAGATGCCAGAGCCCGCCTTCGCCGACATGATTCCCCGCCCGGATAGCTCGGTGAGTGTGCCGTCGCCCGAAACGGAAAACCGGACACGGGAAAATATAAGGTAAGACAAGGTCGTGATTTTTTTGTGCTCTCTCGAGGTTCTCGAGGTGCATATCCTTTGGCCGCGCTGGGTAGCGAGGATTGGTGTAACCCGAGCCACGGAGGCGTGTTTTCTGACGGCCGACCGTCAGTGCACGGAGTTGCCCCTCCTCTGACTGCCCCGGCTAGTTCCCGAGTTTCGCGGGAGTGACCCCAAGCGTCAAACCCGAGACCTAGCGCGGGTTTGTTGGAGGGGGGCTCGCTGCAGGGAAGGGCTGTGTAAGAAGCCGATCCTTTTGTGCTGCTAACCACAGTGTGTGTGTGTGTGTGTGTGAAGCCAACAAGGTCTCTTCGCTCTCTTCAGGCCTGAGGCGCCCGTGTGAGCAACGGCCGACGCCGACACCTACGCCAGGGAAGACAAGGGCGTCGAAGTGCAGCTGCTGCTGTTCGAATCGTTCGGCGGGTTCGGAAAGGGGGTCCGTGAGATCCTCCGGAAGGCGGCGGACGTGCTACAGAACAAGCTGACGCGGGCCCAGTACCTCGATGAGGTGACTTGGACCACCAAGAGCTGGCTGGGGCTGCAGAAGCAGCGCATCTCAGTCGTTCTTCACACGGCCATCGCAGAGCAGGTCGTGAATGAGCTTGCCTGTGGCGGGGGTGGGCGGGTGCACGGAGCTAAGTGCCTCGCCACCCTCGCAGGAGTCGCTTAGGCGGCTCCCGTGGTGTACCTGTGTTAGTGCCAGTGCGCGCCAGTCCCGTGCCCAGTGTTGTGCGAGGGAGTTTTGTTGTAAGATTCTTTTCCGGTCGACAGTACCAACTGGACATCGCTGTGGTTCAATCAATCGGTTCTTGTTTTTAAAACTCCGCTTCTCCGTCTCTATGTTCTTTTTTTGAGAGCGCCTTCGTTGTTAATAGTACAAACCCAATGGTCCCTTGCGAGCGGTCCTTCGTAAAGAAAGAAAGAAAGAAAACACACAAGACCGTTGCAGTCGCACACACGCACAACACCTATTTTTTTTCGCATGCGCCGAGGCGAGCAGCGCTCTCGCAGCAACTCGAAGCTTTTCCCGGTCGACTCTACCAACTGACATCGCGCTAACTAGTCGCGATGTCAAACTCCGACGGCCTCGACTGGACCGCCCGGGCGGCCGACGGCGCGGTGCGCGGTCTCGGCCTGGGGTTTCTGTGGGCGGTGTGGCATGCGCGGCAGGAGGTTCAGCGCGTGCCTCGAATCGCCGCGCCGGCCGCGCTTGCGCAGCTGTTCGGTTCGTCGGTGTTGGGGTTCGGTGCACTGCTTTGCGGCTACTCAGGGCTCTTCTCACTCGCCGAACCCCACGCTGGGAAGCTGCCGGCAGCGGGCATCGCCGGCGCCAGCGTTGGGCTTGTGATCGGTGCATATGTCTGGCCGGCGCAGAGCTGGCAGCTGATCGGCTGGCAGACCGCCGGCTTCTCGGCTCTGTGTGCCGCGTGCCAACTGTTCACACTGCCGCCGCCCGACATGGACGGCCATAGGCCACGGCGTTGACTTTCGCTGTGTGTCTTCAATAGATGTTATGGTGAGTTTGTGATGTGTTGTGAGACTGAGAGAGAGAGAGAGGCCGCATCGCGCACATATGCACCGCCACCCCGGGAATGCGAATCATCTCCGCCTTCCGTACGTACGAAGATTAGAAAAATGAGCGCACACGCACACGAATGGCGAAACAACGGGATGTCACGCCCACTGTCCCCTCCCCGAGAACCGAGAGCCGTGGCAGACCAGGCCCCTAAGCCCTATAGACCGGCTATATCTCTACGGACAACGTGCGGTCGCGAGGCGGCTCAAGATCGTCGCCCCTGTGCCCACTGCAGTCCACATTTTTTTTTTTCCCGCAGCAGCGGAGGAACGACACAGCTCATGGCGCCCAGTCGCAGAAGCGCTGACGAGGATGCTCGAAGGGGGCGTCGATATAAATGGCCAAAACGTAAGACCGGAAGGGATCCAGATTACCGACCCAGAAGACGGGTCGCTACTCGCAGAGCTAGTAGCGTCCCTATTCGCAGATGACACCCAGGCACTACTCAAAAACTACGACCAAGTAGACAAGCTCTGGATAATACTGCAGATATATGAGGAAGCCACCGGAATGAGAGCCAATCCGAACAAGTTCGAAGGTATACGACTAGGGCCGCTGAAGCATCAAGGGCCGCCATCACTACAGGGGAGGAGCAGACTCATCAAATGGCTGGAGAGAGGGAGCTACACCAAGATACTAGGAATACCCTACTACCTAGAAGAAACCCAAGAAGAATCAAATAAGTTCTGGGAAGAGCTCTACACCAAAATCAAGGTCTCAATGGCGAGCCTAAGAGGACTCAAAGACATGAAGATCACAGGAAGGGCACTCGTCGCCAATTTTAAAATCTTTTCTCGTCCCAGATACTGGGCGTTCACGATGGACCCCCCTGGGTGGTTCAACGAACAGCTCATCACTGACGTAAACCACCTCATGTGGGACAAGCACCCTGCGCTTGACCCGGAAGAGGAAGGATCGTACGAAGACCTAGACAGAGCCCCGTGGATTAAGAACCCACACGCCCCGAGGAGACTAGAGTGGAGCGCTGGCGGGGGCACCCCCCCCAAACACGAGCTCATAGGCCTAGGAGTCGCCCTCTGCGACTGGGAACAACACGTCAAGGCCATACGAATAAAAGCACTCCTCAGGTACCTTGATGCAAGCAGGGGCCAGTACAAAACTCTCCTCGACTTGTGGCTCGCTAGAGCGGAAATAGGCAGATCCTCAGTACTAACCTCCTGCAAAGCTCATGACCTCACCAAGTGCCTCGACCCGGGGGAACAACGGAGGGACACCCCCTCCAAGCTGCCGACCTTCTGGGTCAAAGCCATAGAAGACATGAGAGAGCTCCGACTCAAATATCTAGGGTCTGACAACCCGCTCGAGGCACGCTCCACGCCGATATTTAACAACCCTACCCTTCACCTCCCCCCCTCCATAACAAAATTCCACAACCTATTCAATACAGCCCAATTACTCACAGTCACTAACTACTTCACACCAGACGACACCGCGTACTTCGCCACCTCCATCGACCCATACATTAATTGCCGCTACCCCAGATCGACAGACGAACAGATAATCGTCCCGCTGAGAGGAGGCCACTGGCATACCACAGATCGAGCGAAGGTGCACTACGCCTGGCACGAGCTAGGAATAATTCTCAACAAAAGGGGGCTCAACCCCGCGCACAGGAAGGCCAACCTCCTAAGAAGGGAAATCTGGCACGGCTACGACCGAAGCCTGCAAATGCTACAAAGACCGCCAGTAGCGGCCAAGCTCAGAATCTTTTCCACTAATGTCAAGCTAGAGCTCAAAGTCAAAATATTGAACCTACGAGACGGCCCAATAGTCACAAACAAAGGCACTCAGCCTCGACAAACAACAACGGGCCCATCCCCATCACCAAAAGAAAAATTTGAACCAATACGAGTATACGCCTACCTGGACAGAGACGACACAGTAGAAAACAACCACAAGTACTTGGTGCGAACCCTCAAAAAGAAAGCTGGTCAATGGTACGAGGAATACTGGCTAGCAGAACAAGACGCCAAAGGAATGGTCCACCCAGGAACGAAAATAACTAAGGACGAATTCCTAAGACACAACCCACTACCAGCCCTACAGTGGGCGCAAGGCTACAAAGAGAGCGAGGAGGTGGCCTGGCCACACCCGGAGACATACACATTCGACGGGATCGACAAACCACTCGATCAGATAAGCGTCGGCGACATCACAAAGTATCTGAGCAGAAAGGGCATGACCCAACCCAGGATCCTCAGAAACTGGGAGAAGGACTTCCTACGGAACCCAGGGTGGATAAGAGAGGGAGGAAAAGACTCCAGGGCACGAGTGCAGCGACCCGACCGACCGCACGACAGCTCGTCAAGATTCCGCCTCAGAGTGGAGACAAGCAACAAAATAGTCTACCCTCAAGAATGGATTAACGCTGCGAGAGCGATACACAGCACTCTCGTCCCGCCTACAATTACCGACAACTATAGTAGACATATTCTCAACAGGAGGCTGGTCCTCCGGAAACAGCTCAAGGCGTACGGACTAGACACCACAACACACACGAGGTGCAGGCTCTGTAACAGAACCTCTGAAACGCTGAGACACCTCGACGTGTGCCCGGTCGTCCGGGCGGTCTTTGCACAAGGAGAGTCACTGAGCATACCTCCGCCGAGACTACTCACCATCATCGGAACCTCGGCAGACACGCCTGAGGTCCACAACGCACTTCATCTACACATGTGGAACCAAATAATAGTCTCCTTCTACGAAGAAGAAAAAATCAAACCCGAACAAACCTGGAAGGCGGTCTTGAACCTATTAGTGAGAAACATGCAAGCGTACTCGGGGGAGGCCAGAACTAGGCTCCGACGAATAAGACGCAAGAGCGACCGAGTCAGCGATTCGACCATGAAAGAAATAAGCGACAAAGTAGAACCCATGGGGACGATTGATTACTACGGCAGACTACGACTGAGCAGGCGAGTGAATGAAGAACTAAGGAGAGTGGGACTCGACCACCTCACCACAGAAGAGGCGACGACTCACGCACGAGAGATCAAGTTTGTCAAGGCCTCACAAGCTAGCACAACAAACACCTAAAGACTTAAAGGCATCACACTACAAGGAACGCGGCTGAGCTGACTCCCTGTAGGGGGCGCCTCGGTGAACCAGGGACTAGGATCTCGCGCAGACGACACAGGGCGTGCTGCGCCCCGCGCGATCCCTGGCGCAGAGGAGGCTGAGCTGCCGAACTTAGGATGCCTGCAAAGGCTGGCGAAAGCCAGCGAGACACGCCCACAACTCATATCCACTACAACAAGCCATTATGCCCCAATAGGCCCCACCACCCCACCCCTAGGCAATGTAGCGCACATGTCTAGTCCGGAGAGGACGGGGGGGGGGGGGGGTAGGGGATAGCACTGTGCCGAGTATTTTGGATTAAAGCAAAATTTTTTTTTCAGCCACTTAGAGCACACACCACACAGTGACCCCGCGCCCCCCCGGCCCCCGCCCCGCCTAGGTGGGAAGGATATGAGGAGATGGAACAGCCCGAGGGAGAAGCGAACGAAAACACGTATGCGAGGGTGAAGTTGTGCACACCACGCTGCCCGGCGTTTCTCACTTTCCGGGACAGCCCCGCCCTTGTGAGGCAGGAAAGTGG